GAGAGAGAGAGAGAGAGAGAGAGAGAGAGAGAGAGAGAGAGAGAGAGAGAGAGAGATCCTGCAAATCTATTCATTCACATACACTATGCACACAGTCGAAAAGTTGTCAGAGACTTGCCTGAGGTTTTCTGAACTGAATTCCGACTCCAGAAAACGAAGGAACTGGTCTCGCCCCACTTGGTCCTTTAGTACCTCGTCAATGGAGAATCCCCATCTCTTTACACGTTGTTGGCTAGGCTCTTTGCTTTGAGAATAAAGGATTTATTAGTTTGTCTTTTTAGAAAGAAAAAGATAAATGGAAGGAAAAAGCATGTGTCATACATATTTGGGTCAATATTCCAAACAGGCTGGACATCCAATGCAATTGTGTGCTTTATACATTTAGAAATCAGTGGCATTTTCCACTGTCCTGATCCTCTTCTCTTCTCACTCTATACTATTTCATGAGGTGATCTCATCAGTTCCCATAGATTTAATTACCATCTATATGCTTATCCAGCCCTAACCTTTCTGCTGATCTCCAGTATCATATCTCCAAATAAAATTAGAGAACTTGAACTGGATGTCCCATGGACATCTTAAACTCAATATGTCCCAAACTGAACTCATCATTCCCCTAAAACTCTGCCCCATTCCCAAACTTTCCCATTACTGTCTAGGGCACTGCCATCCTCCCAGTCCCCTAGGTTCACAACCTAGGTATCATCTTTGACTCTTGACTCTCTCTGCCAGTCCTCCCCATATCCAATTGTTGCCAAAGCTTGTCAATTTTACCTTTGTAATATATCTTGCATATACCTCTTTCTCTCCTCTGATACTGCCACCACCTTAGGCTCACATCACTTCACACCTGTAGCAGTCTGGTTGATCCATCTACCGTAAGTGTCTCCTCACTCTAATCCCATCCTCTTCTCAGCTGTTAAATTGATCTTCCTAAAGCATAGGTCTGACCGTGTCACCCCCACTCCTTCTCAGTGAACTCCAGTGGATCCCTAGGACCTCTAGGATCAAACATAAAATCCTCTGGCCTCCAAAACCCTTCAGAACCCTCCCAGTCTTCTTCTACATTATACTACCTGTCTCCGCAAGTACTCTTCAAATCAGTGACATTGGCTTTCTTTCTGTTCTTCAAATAAGACCCTCCATTCCTGACTGGATATTTTCACTAGATGTCTCCCATGACTGGAATGTTCTCACTCCTCATCTCCACCTCCTAACTTCCCTGGCTTTCTTCAAGTCCCAGCTAAAATCCCACCTTCTACAGGAAGCCTGTCCTTGTTTGTTGTTTTGTTGGTCAGTCACGTCTAACTCTTCATGACCTCATTTGGGGTTTTCTTGGCAAAGACACTGGAGTGGTTTCCATTTCCTTCTCCAGCTCATTTTACAGATGAAAAAATGGAGGCAAACAGAATTAAGTGACTTGTCCAGGGTCACACAGCTAGTAAGTGTCTTAAGCAGATTTGAACTCAGTTCTTCCTGACTCCAGGCCAGTCAATCTATCCATAGAGCCACCTAGCTGCCCCAAATCTTTTCTAATCCCTTTTAATTCTAGCACCTTCTCTTGATTATTTCCAATTTATCCTGTCTATATCTTGTTTGTATGCAGTTATTTACATGTTATCTCCCCCATTGTGATGGAAGAGACCTTTTTTCCATTCTTTGTATCCTCAGCATTAAGCACAGTGCCTGGGACATGTTAACTTGTTAACAAGTCCTATGTAACTTTTCATGATCCCATGGACTTTGTCCATGGGGTTGTCTTGGTAAAGATACTGGAGTGGTTTGCCATCTCCTTCTCCAGCATGTCCCCAGTTTACATATGGGGAATTGAGGCAAATAGGGGTTAAGTGACTTGCCCAGGGTCACAAAGCTAGTAAGTATCTGAGGCCAGATTTGAACTCAGATCTTCCTAACTCCTGGCCACTCCTGCACCATCTAGCTGCCCACCTGAGGCATAGGTGCTTAATAAACATTGGTTGACTCACTGACCTAATTAGAACATAGACTTTGAGGGAGGGCCATAATTAGGGCATGAAAACTATAGCTTTGATCCAGGACATTGAATTTAGGGGGTACTTACTATCTCTGCAGTCCTTTAGTAGTTTAGAAACATTAGAGCTCAGTATCTAATTGGCATGAACAGTTAAAATAGGAAGCTATTACAGCTTGCTTCCTCCCTCTGTGGGCACACTCTTGGTGAAGTCCTCCTTAGCCCAACTCTCCCTGCCCCACACCCACCATCCCATTTCATGCTGCTTGTCATGTACTCAGTTTGTGCTACTTGCCTCAGGTGCAAAAATTGCTAATGACAGCTCTGTTGTGAGGTATGTGTGTGTGTGTGTGTGTGTGTGTGTGTGTGTGCAAGCCACAAAGAACATCAAAGAAGCAATTCTAAAAGGGAGGAAGTTGAGGTGGAAACTGAAACCCAGAGCAATCCTCTGAGCGTGGAGCTCATTGCAACAGAAAAAGAAACTCCATTAAATCACAGATAACCTATGCTTATACCATTTACCTTCAAAATACCAAGCTGGAAAAGACAGTGTAAAAGCAGAGAGGTGGTCTTGAAATCAGGAAGAAGGGGGTTGGAGTCCCACTCCTGACCCCATTAGCTGTGTGAACGTGGCCATAGCTTAACCTCCCAGATCTGCAGGCAAGCCTCTGTGACTAGACATTACAAAGCAGTTGCTGACCTGTCTGGGTAGAGGGAGTTTCCTTACCACCAATGGTTATCTACACCAATGAAATCACAGGTTTGGAGCACAAAGAAACAAATAAATAAACCAATAGCTGAATGAATAACCAAGGTGGGCCAATGACAGAGAGATGGAAATTTGGATCTAGAACTTTTTCTAAACTTACTCCAAGGCATAATTCCCATTAAATGGCTTCCAGGGTGATAAGGAAGACTGTTTTTTAAGAAATGCCTTTGGGTCTAAAGCTACCAATAATTTTAGAAACCTGGGTAGCATAAGATCATTAAACCATTTGAGTTCAGAACACAAGCTCTGGTGTGGATGTCATTGGGTACCTGTAGTCTGAACGAAGGTTTCAGGCAGACTCTGGTAAGTCTCAGAGATAGAATTACAACAGTGACAGCTACATCTGGTAACAACTGCAGCAGTGAATTGAAGCCAGCATGCAGAGGGAAAGGACTGTCAGTCTTTGGGGTCACTCTCTGGCACAGATAACAATTAATGCCTTTTTTGCCATTCTTTGTATTCCTAGCACTTAGCACAGTGCCTAGGCCATAGTAGGTGGTTTGTTCAGCTAAAATAATCTTTTGTACAAATAACAACACCATTTTTGTTTATTTATTTGGTTTTGTAGAGGTGATCCAGAAAGGCTGGGAGTCAATGATAGTGATGAAATCAGAAACATTGGGGAAAAAGCAATGATACTCTTCAGTGAGAACAACAGCTCAGACTCAAGAACTCATAATGGGAACCTTGTGCTTTCATAGGATAGTACCTCTCTGTGTTCATCAATGGTACTCATGTATCTGGAAATTCACTGCAGGTTCTGAAAATAGTCAGTCACCAAAAGAGTTTAAGTCAGAGTTCCCTAGTTTCAAGTAAGAATACCTGGTCCTAGGTCCCCCAAATACATTCAAAAGGCAGTTGCCACCTCAACTGCATAGTTTTGAAGGCATAATCCTTTTTTAGAGTAGGATGATCAGCTTTGTAATCTAGGAAAGGAATATGGATAATTAGTACTAAAGGACACACACATATGTATATAGTATTGTTGTTGTTGTTGAGTTGTTTTCAGTCGAGTACAACACTTTGTGATCCCATTTGGAGTTTTCTTGGCAAAGATACTGGAGTGGTTTGCCATTTCCTTCTTCAGCTTATTTTACAGATGAGGAAACTGAGGTAAACAGGATTAAGTGACTTGCCCAGGGTCATACAGGTAGTAAGTGTCTACGGCCATATTTGAATTCATGAAGATGAGTCTTCCTGATTCCAAGCCCAGTGTTCTATTCACTGTATCACATGGCTGCTTGTGTGTATGTGTGTGTGTGTGTGTGTGTGTGTGTGTGTGTTTAAAGACTGCTAAATCCTATAAAACTGGGATGCATTGTTGGTTACAGTAGTCATTGGATGCCCTACACAATAAACTTCCCTCCCCTAAACTCAAGTTACAGGTATTTGAACACCCATATGAACTTGTAGCATTTATTGTCCATTGGTGATCAATCATATAGTGCTTTGTGACCAGTCCTGTAATGCCCTTAAACAATTTTTCATGTATGCATCTTGTCTCTGCTTTCTCACCCCTATTCCCAGGTTGCTGGGCATTACTGAAGATAGTTGAATAATAAAGCCAGTTTCACCTAATACAAATTTCTGATGTATAATCTCAGCTTGATTCTGCCTGCTGCTTTACACTCGTCTCTTTTCTTTCTAGTGAACCTAGTGACCATTGCAAACCAATTCCATTCTCTTCAACAGCCTAACTATATTCTTACCTTCTGATACTTAGAAGGTAACCAAGTTCACTATTACACCGAGAGCTGTCTGAGACCACCTGCCAGAGAGTTCCTTTAGATCCCCCTCCATAATTCCCTTAAACTTTTCAGCATTATCCTCCATTCTCCCTTCCTTCTTATAACTGAAGTGACCTAAGGCTAATCCCTTGATCTATGCTCTTTATTCAACTCATAGGTTTACAGATTTAGAGCCTGAAGGGACCTCAAAGTCCATCTAACCAACCCTCTCATCTTACAGATAACGAAACTGAGGTCCAGATGACTTGCCTAATTTCACAGAAGTGGCAAGCATCAGATACAAGATTTGAACCCTAGTTCTTTGACCCTAGACCCATCTTTCCTTTTCCACATTCATACCTCCAACAAATATCCTCTCTTTCTCCTACATCTGCAAACTTCTCTTCTCATCTAGCTCTTTCTCATCTGCTGAGAAAATGCATGGGTCTCCAATTCTAAAAATGCTTTCCTTTGATTTTTCATACTCCATTAACTTTTGTTTCTATACCTCTCCTCCCTTTCACTGTTAAATTCCTTAAAAAGTTTTCTGTACTTGATGTTTCTACTTCTTTACTACCGAACTTCTATTTTACTATTTTTCCCAACTTCTTTTTTTTTAAATAACATTTTATTGATATAGTTTATTTCTTTTTCTTTCTTTTTTTTTAGGCAGTTGGGGTTAAGTAACTTGCCCAGGGTCACACAGCTAATAAGTGTCAAGTGTTGGCCTGAGGCCAGATTTGGACTCAGGTCCTCCTGACTTCAGGGCCAGTGCTCTATCCACTGTGCCACCTACCTGCCCCTTCCCAACTTCTTAAAAACCTTTTACCCCCACTAATCAATTGAAACTGCTCTTTCAAACAACACCAATGATGATGTTCCTAATCATTTAATCCAATATCTTTTTATAGTATTTATCCTACTTGACATTGGCAGAATTTCACAGAGTCGACCAACCTTTCCCATTGGATATTCTCCCCTTCCTTGACTTCATAGAAATCACTCTCTCCTGGTTCTTCTTCCACCTAGCTAAGCCCTTCTCTACCTACTTCACTAGTTCTATTTCCTCTTTCTGAATGCTCGAGGCACATGCTCCCCAGGGTTTTGTCCTGGGCCCTCTTCCATTTTCTTTCTACACCTCTTAACAATCTTATTCACCTCTGCCACTTCACCCATTTCCCTCTATGCGGGTGACTTGTAAAACTTCATTTCTAAAATCTACATGAACTCATGCGAAGTGAAATGAGCAGAACCGGGATAACACTCTACACAGCAACAGCAGTACTGTAAAATGACCAGCTGTGAATGGCTTAGCTATTCTCAGCAATAAAATGATCCGAGACAAATTTGAAGGACTTGTGGTGAAAAATGCTATCCAGCCCTAGAGAAAGAATTGATGGAGTCTGAATACAGATTGAAGCATTTTTTACTTTCTTTTTTTTCTTATTTTTTAATCTATCTTTTCTTGTACAACATTACTAATATGAAAATATGTTTTGCATGACTACACATGTATAACCTATATCAAATTGCTTGTCTTTTCAATGAGGGGGGTGGGGAGAAAAGGAGAGAATTTAGAACTCAAAATTTTAAAAACAATATTAAAATTATTTTTACATGTAATTGGGGAAAATGAAATACTAAACAATTTTTTTAAAACTTCATTTCTAGCCCTGACCTTTCCCTTGAATTCCAGATCCCATTGCCAACTGCTTATAAGCTATCACTATCTGAATGTCCACTCCCCACCTCAAACTTAACATATGGGAAACCACATTTATCTTTCCTGTTATTCCTTATTCTCCTGATCTCACTGTTTTGTTAATGATACCGTTACATTCATCCTGGTGATTATCTTCAATTTTTCCTCTCATATCTATTCAGCTACCAATTCTTGTTGATTCAAAAGATCTGTGTAGCATCTTTTGAGTAAGTTCCCCCAATATGGCTTCCTTGAAATCAGCTCATGCCAGATGAACCTCATTTCCTTTTTCTTTGAGGTTAGACTAACTAGACTGGTAGATCAGGGGAAGCACTTGACAAAATCCCTCATGCCAACATTATAGATAAGATAGGAAAGAGGACGCCTAGATGACAGCACAGTTGGGTAGATTCAGAACCTGTTGAATGACCAGGTCCAGAGAATAGTCATTGATCAGTTGATGGCCACTGGGAGGGAGGTTTTTAGAGGAATGCTCTAGGGGTATGGCCTTGGTGCTGTGTTGCTCAACATTTTTGTGATTTATTTTGATGAAGCCATGCAAAGGCATGCTTGTCAAATTTGCAAATGACCAAAAGCTGAAAGTGGTGTTTAATATGATAGATCTTGGGCAGAATCAGGATCCAAAAAGATCGTGCTACTTAACAAGATTAAATTTAACTGGAACAAGGGTAAATCTACACCTGGATTACAAAAATCAATCAGACAAATATGAGTGAGATGTTAGACAAGAGTGTGCTTGAGAGGGGAAGATTGGAGGGTTTTAGTGACTTGAGTCAACAGTGTGATAAGACAACCAAAAAGCTAAACTTATTCAGCTACAGGGCAGCTAGGTGGCACAGTGGACAGAGTGCCAGAGCAGAGTCAGGAAGACTCATCTCCCTGAGTTCAAATCTGGCCTAGATAGTTATTAGCTGTGTGACCCTGGGCAAGTCACTTAACCCTGTTTGCCTCCATTTCCTCATCAGTAAAAAGAGCTGGAGAAGGAAATGGCAAAACATTCCAGTATCTTTGCCCAGTGACTTTCTCTTAGGGCAAGTGTCATTGAGGGACACTATACACTGGAACGACCAATAATGTCAATTGATATAAAAATGTCCTTGGTTCTTTGTGGTATTCTTAAATTCCGGTCTTTCTCAATACCCCAATTGCTACTTGGCCTTTACGTATGACATAACAGTTCAGGAAACATGACTATAACCCCTCCATTGTGTCTCCTGTTTTTATGGTTCATGAAGTACGGCCTACTACTGCCTTTGTCATAATGGCTCAGCTAGATTTGGGGTGGCATTGGCTGAAGGTGGGCTCCTTTCAACACAGGATGGAGAGGTATTCTTTTTAATGAGAGAGAAAGAGAGAGAGAGAGAGAGAGAGAGAGAGAGAGAGAGAGAGAGAGAGCTAAAGAGAGAGTTAAATGTATGTTCCCATGAAGAGACCAATTACCTAATTAATCTCTCTTGTGAGACTCTACTAGGCTCATGGATGAGGTCTAATATTTGCATCAGAGCAATAATCTGGTTGGGTACTATAGTATGAATGCCTTAGGCAGAAACCAGTAACCTAGTACAGCAGGACCAGCGGCCTACTAAGGTCCTCTGGGCTCAGGGACCTAAAATTAAGCCCATTTAGAGGGTCATGAGATCTAGCTAGCTGGGAAGAAACAAGGCACTGAGTTATTCTAGTTCAGCTAAATTGAGGCTTGCTTCTTCTCTGACTTTTAAAAACCAAAGAAGAATCAGAAACAGGCATCATTTGTCAACTGTCATGTTTCTATGTACCTTTTCTAGCCTGATATAATTCTATGATCTATTTGTATGGTAAATGAACCCTAAGAACTATAGGGCCCATTGAAGGCAAGGACTATCTTTTGCTTTTCTTTGTCTTCCCAGCACTTAGCACCAGTGCATTGTTGTTCAGTTGTGTCTTTGTGACCCCCATGGGGTTTTCTTGGTAAAGATACTGGAATGGTTTGCCATTTCCTCCTCTAGCTTTATGCAGGCAAGGGTTAAGTGACTTGCTTAGGATCACACAGCTATTAAGTGTCTGAGGTCAAACTTGAATTCTGGTCTTTCTGACTCCAGGTCCAGTATCCACTTTACCACCTAGCTTCCTGGAGAATAGTAGGTGCTTAATAAATGCTTTATTGACTAATTGACTGACCCTCAGAAGTCTAGTTCAAACTCTTTCGGAAACACAAATTCTATATATGACACCTGACTGAATCACCCAATGTGATAACGAGTCCATATCTCTCTACCTTGTCTCCAAGGTTATTCATTCAATTCGACAAATGTTTAGTAAACACCTACTAGGCATAACACATTTACACCCATTAGGTATAAGGAAGGTGTATGACACATAAAGTATATGCCAAAGATGCCTTGATGGAAAAAGGGATCCTATGCTAAAATCCAGATCTACCAGTCTAGCAACCTTGTCAAAAAGCAAATGAATGTAATCTGACAAGTTTTGTTCTTAACCATTTCTACAGTGGCCCTCATTAGCCCAGAGACAATGGAAAGCTGCCTTGAAGAGCATTACTAGATCTCATAGAATTCCCACTCCCCCTCCCTTTTGAAAAAGATTAATTTTAGTTCTCTCAAGGTAATATTATTATTATTATAATTTTATTTTTATACCTCATCTCTATGTCCCATAAAGTGATGTCATCACTGATCCATGGATTAGAAGGCTCTGCTGCAGTTATCAAAGGATCATATTCCACGTACTGTTCCGTGTAAGCTATTAAGCTGCGGCAGGGAGGGAAGGGAGAGACAGAGGAGACAAAGTCACCAATCACCATAGCAATATCATGTCAGGGTCACAATCTTGTACTTCAAATGGTCAATGCACTTACCTCACTAGATGCTGGGAATGAGCAATTAGCAGGAGGCTCCAACTCATTCCCCTAGCAGTAAGGGGGCATTGCACAATAAAGGGAGCACATAGCCCAAGGTTTATTTCTTCCTATCCCAAGCTGGGCTCATGTTCATTCCTTCAAGGAATCTGAGATGGATTTGAAGTTTTAGAGGACAACTGACCCATTATCATTTCACTTCTCCATAGTTGGAAGAAGTAGAGGGATTCTAGCATCAGATATAGACTATAATCTCCAATATTAGAGAAGTCATCCTCTTTAAGACATAAATCTGCTAGGAATGGAGGACACTGGAGCCTTTTAAAAGAAAGCATAATGGGTCTTGATTGAAGTACTCAGTTGGCCCATTTCAATTTGCCATCAATGCCACATGCTGCTCACATGATCACCTAAAACTGAAACTGCTTATGTATGATGGACTCGGGCAGGAGTGTGCTGGCAAATGTTTAACAAATGACTCTCTAAAAATGTATGAATGATACACACTTTTAAGTTTAATCTATATTATTAACATTGTCTCCACCACTTAACTCTAAACAATAAGCCAAGCCCTGATTTGTAGTATTTGCTGATTTTTTGAGGTGTAAATGCTCACACTGAAAATTTAATAATTATCTCTCTGTTCAAGCTGGTTCCAACACATCCCGGGGAGTCCACATGGAGGTACCACTGGCTTTAGAAGTCCCCGTCCCATCATGGATGGAGTTGGGGCTGGCTACAAGAAATTCAGCTCAACCGAATCCCCAAAGCCTATTAGGAATTTCTCCACCTAAAACCTCTTCTCACAATCCTGCTTAAACAAATATAAATAAAAAGGCTTCTCTTTAGCCAAGCTTAGAGTAAATAGCTTCAAAATCTTTGGGGGAGTATCTATATTTGCTTTCCCTTTACACCCTCCTCCCCCCCAACCCCTTTCATTTAACCTAGAAGTCAAAAAAAGTTATAAAGAGTTATAAAGATGGTTGAACAGAAACAGCAGGTTAGTGCTAACCATTTGTAAAAGTTCCTTACTCTAATAGTGAGAACTCAGAAAGAAACCTGGGCTGGAGTAGAATTTCCACAGTACAGTGGAAAGAGTATCGGATTTCCCTTTAACGGACCTGAGGTCTAAACCCAGCTCTGCCACATATTTGCTTTTGGGCAAGTCACTTGACCTCTTTCGGCATTAGTTACCTGATCTATAAAATGAAGAGGTTGGACTAGATGACCACTAAGGTTTTAGGTAACCTTCCAACTTTAAATGATCATTATGATCAAATATAACAGAGGGGAAAGAGAGCAGAGTCATAACAGTTAGCATTTACATAGGGCTTTGATGTTGGCAAAATGCTACAAATATTATCTCATTTTATCCTTACAACAACCTTTGGTGGTAAGTGCTATTATTATCTCCATTTTATAGATGGGAAAACTGAGGTCACAGGGAGTTAAGAGACGTGCCCGGGGTCACAAAGCTAGTAAGTATCTAAGGCAGGATTTGAACACAGGACTTCTTGACTCCAGGTCCAGTGCTCTACCAAATTAGAGTGAAGGCTTCATGCATTTCTTGTAGAATAACAAACAAAGGGCACACATTGAAAATGCAAGTGGTGCTGGGGGAGGGCAGGATTTGGAGGCCTTGCCTATGGGCCCCCAAATGCCTTGTCCCAGCTCTGGGGAACATGTATCCCCTGAAAAGTAATTTGTTTTTCAGTTGCATCTGACTCTCTGTGATCCCATTTGGGTTTTTCTTGGCAAAGATACTCAAGTGGTTTGCTATTTCCTTCTCCAGCTCATTTTAAAGATGAGGAAACTGAGGCAAACAGAGTTAAGTGACTTGCTGAGGGTCACACAGCTAAGAATTATCTGAGGCCAGATTTGAGCTCAGGAAGAGGAGTCTTCCTGATTCCAAGCCCAGTGCTCTATCCGCTGAGCCACCTAGCCGCCCCTGAAAAGTAAAAGGAGATGCTAATCTGAAGCCGATTTAGGGGCTGTACAGGGGCTTCCTTGATTAGTGCTTTCTCTGCTTGTGTGAACATCTAACAGCTACTTGAAAAGAAAGTTTTTTATTTGTTTGTTCTTTTAAGCCAAACCACATTGCTTTGTTATTATAAGAGAAGTAACAGAATGTGCTGAGAAGGGCTTATAGAGAGACTTAAGGGGTGAGCTTGAATCAAGAGAACACGTTGGAAGGATTTTCTGTTTGAGACAATGTAGGAGATGGGTTGTTATGAAAGCTGGAGAACAGCAGCCTAGGAAGGCATGTATGTGAATGTGACCAGCATCCTTCAGAATTCTAACAGACACGATGGGCTTTATAAGATGCTGCATCAACTTTTAGTTCATTAAATTTTTTACATGATTACATAACCACCTTGGGGAAAAGGAGGGAGGTCAGCCAGCCACCTTAAGAATGGAGATGGATGGTTTTGTTAATGAGCACAGTAGGTGAGGAAAAATTAGGGGCTGGCTTGCGAGAAGGGCTCATGAGCATTAGAAGGTTCTCCATGGAGGACTAAAAAGTTGTATTTCCCATTATGAGATGAAGTGTAAGGGTCCTTGCTGGTCAACCCAAAGAATGATCTTAAAATGTCAAAAGTAACTAGGAAAATATGATGTAAAGTTGTGGAGGAAGCTGGCACCAAAGGCCCCAAACTGGGTAGTAAGTCAGAGAAATGGTGTGTTGCTTTAGCCATCTTAAGAGAAATAATAGAATGCTGAGAAGAGCTGGTGTGGAGAAAATGGCTGGATTAAGAGGTGAGCCCGGATCAAGAGACTGCATTTGATAGGACAAGGAAGGATTTTCTGTGTAAAACCATGTGAAATGTGGGATACCATCTAAGCTAGGGAGCCATAGCCTATGAGAACACTCCGTGTGAATGTGACTAGCATTCCAAGAGTTATTGGTCACACTAAGAAAGAAAGAAAGAAAGAAAGAAAGAAAGAAAGAAAGAAAGAAAG